CCTGACCCATGGCGGGAAGGCAGGATGCAGGCACACCCCATCTTCCCTGAGAAGGGTTAACAGTCCTGGGGGGCAGTGGGACAGAAGCACTTGGAGATCTGTGACCTGGCATTTCTGTGCTTCTCTGAAGGGCATGAGCTCCGTTTTCTTCAACAAAGGGGAGAACTGCATTGCAGCGGGCCGGCTGTTCGTGGAGGACTCCATCCACAACCAGTTTGTGCAGAAAGTGGTACGTTCCAGGGTGGAGTCTGAGCTGGAGGGGCAGGCTGCAAGAGAGGCGGTAGTGCTGAGTGAGGGGCGCCTGGGCTCCTCTCACCGCGTCCCACCCACCGGAGGATCCTTGGGGGACTCTCTTGAGTCTTTAGCTCAAATTGACATAACCGAAGGGCCTGTGGGCTGAGGGTACCTCGGTGGCCTAGCGCTTTCCCAGGCTTTGGCCCCATCCTCAGCACCACCAAAAAGGAGCATTCTCCGAAAGCAGAGCCTAGGATGAGGACCAAGTGTACAGGATTCACAAGGGCTGACCCCCTTAGGAGAGGCCATAGGAGGGACCAGGAGAGCACAGGACATGGCCTCGGACCCCTAGCAGCATCCTGGAGCAGGAAGTACCCTGTGCAGCAGGTGCCCAGAATCAAGAGGCTAGGTCTTGCCCCAGCTCCAGTGTTGGGCAGTGGTTGCCGCAAGCTGGCCATGGAGTGAGAAGGGCAGCTTCTGCCAGCTCCCAAGACTGTCAGCTTCTGGGGACCTGACAGGTGCCCAGCAGCAGCTCCCACTAGAGTTACTGGGTAACTTAACAAAAGCTCAAAGGGCAGACTGAGGCTGGCTTCAGGAACAAGCGGGCCTTCTTGGCGCTGTAGGGCTGTCTTGTTGGTTGGTTGGTTGGTTGGTTGGTTGGTTGGTTGGTTGGTTGGTTGGTTGGTTGGTTGGTTTGTGGTGCCGGAACCCAGGGCCTTGGCTAGTGAGATGATTGCTCTGCCACTGAGCCCAGCTCCAGTCAGGAATATCTTTAATTATTGACTTTTGGGTTTCTCAGTGGCTTGGCTTCATTGTGACCAGCCTCATCATGTGAGGTTGACATCAGTAGACCAATGCTTCCCTAGCATGAAGAGAGGGAAAAACTCCAGCTGTTGGAATAAAGTTATGGAGGGACACAGGTTGGCCCAGCCAGAGGCCCCACCCATCCTCAATCTAGACAGTGGTGTCAAGGCAATGGCATCTGAGGCTGGAGGTGTCCCTGTGGCAACTGTAAGCCCACCCTGGGTCCTGGAGATCAGGCAGGAACCCGACAGAAATGTGCAGGGATGCTGAGCGGTGGCAGTGGTGAGTCTACCTGTCGCTTTATGTACATTGTGGCTAGGACACCCTGAGAAAAGGATGGGGTGGCATGGCCATTTAGGAGCATTTCCTGAGGGGAAGGTCTGTGTTACAGAATACCCGAGATAAACGATTCATATGGAAGAAAGGTTCGTCCTAGCTGACAGTTTTGGGGTACATGATGCTTGGCACCATTGTGTTGGGCCTGTGGTGAGGCAGAGGATCATGGTGGAGCGTGCACTACAGAGCAAAAGCACTCACTTCGTGGCTCTGGAAAGCAGAAGGGAAGAAGGGACTGGGGTCCCACTATCTCCTTCAAGGGGACAACTCCAGCGACCTCACTCCCTCCTGCTGTGTCCTATCTCCTAAAGGCCCCACCACATCCCACCAGTACCCCCAAGCCTGGCAACCAAGCCTTCAACCCATGGGCCTTGGGAGGACACCGGGGCCAAACCGGAGTAGTCAGGAATGGGTCTGAGTATGAAGGTGACAAGGACAGCAGAGGACCGAGCAGCTTTGCTGTGTGACAAGTGACACCCAACACCCAGTGGCTGAGCTTACCTGGCTCACAGTCCATCCAGACTAGGGTGAGCCCTGAACTGAGTGAGGGTGAGACAGATCTGCCCGACCCCAAGACTCCAGGTCAGGGACCTGGGAGCCAGGCCATACAAGCTAGGGACTGGGTCTGCTCTCCCAGAGGCCGACAGATCTGCCTTATGGGGAGCTGATTCTGTCCAACTGGGTTTCCTTTCTTCATCCTACACCCTGACTCACTTTTTAAGAAAAGATTATTTTATGTAGATACATGTTTCTCCTGCATGTGTACAGTATGTGCGCGGTGTCTGCAGAGGTCAGAAGATGGCATGATTCCCCTGGAGTTACAGATGATTGTGAGCCTGTGTGTGTGTGTGTGTGAGAACCAAGCCTGGTCCTCGGGAAGAGCAGCCAGTGCTTTGAACCCATGAGCCATCTCTCTAGCCCCTAACTCCATGTCCTCCTAGCATCCAAGCTCCAGAGTCACTAGATCACCTCCTCTGTCACTGCCTGGTGACACGCAGGCAGCATCTTAAAGCTACAAAGCTAGAGTCACTTTGAAGCTGGCTGGAGCAGAGGGAAGGCTTCCCATGGGAGATCATTCTCAAAGGATTTGTTGAAGCAGAGGAAAAATGGAAGCAGAACTCGGTAGACTTGAGCCTCGGAACTCTTCTCTCTGTTCAGGGTTCCTCTGTCTGCCACTGAGGCTACTGCAGTAGATAGGTTTGGAGTCAGGCTGAGGAAGCCCCATTAGCTGGGAAATGGCCCCCACACCTTCTTCAGGGCCCTGTGGTCAGTCTAAAGCTGCAAAGGTGGGATTGGTCCCAGTACTGACCGTCATAAGACACTGTGGTGACCCTGAGCAGGACCTGACCGAGGACTTTCTGCAGGTGGAGGAGGTGGGGAAGATGAAAATCGGCAACCCCCTGGACAGAGACACCAACCACGGCCCGCAGAACCACGAGGCCCACCTGAGGAAGCTGGTGGAGTACTGCCAGCGTGGTGTGAAGGAAGGGGCCACGCTGGTCTGTGGTGGGAACCAAGTCCCAAGGCCAGGTCAGTCAGAGTTCTCCATCTCACTTGGGTAAACTGAGGCAGCAAATACTAGGCCTCTGGTTTCCAGCCCAGCCCTAACTGGACATAGCTGAAAGCCTATGTGGTCAGGATCCAGGCCTCCAGCTCAAATTGGGACCTTGGATGTAATGGGCTGTTTGGTCACCCTCTAGACCCAGGTCGGGAACTGAAAAGATGAGGAGTCCAGAACATTCCTCAGTGCTGACACCATCTGCTGTGCAGGGTGTTGCCGTTGACATCACTCTACCATGGCGTCAGCCTCCTCTGACTTGAGGTCAAGGTTCTCCCTCCTTGCAAAGTTTTTCTTCTGAACAGTTGTGTTGTGGGGTGTGTGACTTCTGGGGAGACATGAACTAACGCCTACTCACCCCAGTGAGGGGACCAGTGACCACCTCAAAGAGACAGCCCTACCCGTGTCTACTTAGGGAGCTAGTGAGTTCATTGGGGTCACTCAGGAACATGAATAGTTCAAAAGCAATTGCACCAGAACCTGGGTGACAACTTCCCAAAGCTGCGTCCTGAAACACCCCCAAACAACTTGGGTGCAGCTTGGCTGCCATCTCATCTCCCTTTTCACTGCTTAGTGAGCAGGTGGCAGGGGCCTGATGTATCTTGTGTCACTTTCATGAGTGTTTGGAGCCTCCTTTCTCCCTCCGGGAGGAAATAGCTAGGTAACAGGTGGAAATGCCATAGTGTCCCTCCAGTGATGGCCAGCTGCCCTTAGCGAGGAGTGAGCCTTTGCTTGGGGTGGGCAATCCTTGAGATGGTGCAGATCTTCATAGACACATGGCTCAGGTCACCCATCCAGAGCTCTTGACGTAGCCAGCATTAGATACTTCCACCTGAATGGCCCCAGGTACTCGGCTTCAACCTCATCTCACTGGACATCTTAGTTACTTTTCTATTGCTGTGAAGACCCCGTGACCAAGGCAACTTACTGAAGACTTTATTGGGGGCTTACAGATTCAGAGGGCGAGTCAGTGACCATCATGTTGGGGAGCATGGCATCAGGCAGGCCTAGCTCTGCAGCAGTAGCTGAGAGCTCACATCTTGAGATAACATCTATGAGGCAGGGAGAGCTAACTGGGAATGGCATGAGCTTTTGAAACCTTACAGCCTGCTCCCAAATACATGGCTCCTTCAACAAGGCCACACCTCCTAATCCTTCCCAAGCAGTTCCACCAGCTGGGGACCAAGCATTCAAAGACATGAGCCTCTAGGGCCCATTCTCATTGAAACCAGCAGTGTCTGACCACAGACACACTTGCTTCTCTGGAATCTACTTAGTTCTTCTAACCACTCAAAATGGGAAAGCAGAAGCCACATGGATGGAGCCTTAGGCTGTCTACCCACAACACCACAGCTCCACACCCTGCCTGCCTTTTACACTCTGTAAGGAACCCCACACAGAAGAGGCTCTCACTAACTTCTGGAATGGAAGAGGGGAAGAAAGGACACACCCCTATTTCTGGCCCCTTGATTTTAATTCCCTCCTGGTTCTGTTACGTCTGGCACCTCATTTATACCTTGGCCCTCCTGCATCCCTGCCATCTTCTCATTCTGCCAAGTGTCCCCGTGAGCCAGTGACCTTTTGTTTATTCACCTGCTGGGAGCTCTTGGGTTCCAGTGCTCAGCAGTGCCCTCCTGCTTCAGGGGCAAGTTTCCTGACTGCCTCCCTGGCCTCATTTGCGAACAGTGTGGCTTGTCCTTAATCCCCACCCATCATCTCTTGTACTCTCTCTACATGCTTCTAATCTTCTGCCATCTGTATCTGCTGCTCCTCAGCTTGGCTAACTGCTCCCCAGTGTCCCACCCAGAGAACAACTTATCATTTAGCTGAAATGGCATTCAAGCACAAACTTCCCTGTACCACCAACGTGGGAGTTCCTTAAAGCTGGGGACAGTATGGCAAGTCATAGTGGGGGATGGATGGCAAAGTTTGGGATAAGCACTGTTCACAGAGCAGGGAGAGGGATCCAATGGGGCCCATGCAGCCCCCAGGAACATGGGAGCAGCACATCTGTTCTCTGAACGATTGGGTGGAGAATTTTCTAGATCCAAATCAAGAACAGGACCGATCAGGGCTGACACTTCTTGACCATTTCTACCTGGAAGGCAGAGGATGAGGCGCCTGGGTCTATAGAGCCCCAATTAGAACCAGAACTGAACAGAGAGCTGTGTGAGCCAGGCCCTAGCCAGCGTAGGAGGAGACAGTCAGGGACCTATACCTCCTACATGCCTCAGGCTGCTGTCTCCCCTACAGGCTTCTTCTTTCAGCCAACCGTCTTCACGAACGTGGAGGACCACATGTACATCGCTAAGGAGGAGTCCTTTGGGCCCATCATGATCATCTCGCGGTTTGCCGACGGGTATGTGATCCACCATGCCTCTCAGGGCTTTTTCTCTGTGTGCCTGGAGTCTTGACATCCGCTCTAAGAGATGGTCCGTGAGAAGGAAACTGAGTCAGTGAAGAACCTGTACACAATGCCTGGGCTGCCTGGCCTCTTCAAGCACACAGGACTCCCTTTGCCCTCCCTCCCCCGGGCCAGAGTGGCCTCCAGGCCCAGATGAGCAAAGGGCAATTTCTGTGTATGTTCCTGCCTCCTTGGGTTTGCCCTCCATCTCTCTGGTATTACTCACAGCCTGCCAGGTCTGGTTCTCATGGTGTCCTGCTGAGTACCAACCTGACCCTAACCAAATGGCCTGGGACAGCTGTGGCATTGGGTCTTACTCATGAATGAACCCACGCGCCAGGTTGGTTGGGTGAAGCTAGCCTATCTCAGCTTTGTGCTACATCTGGCCTCGCCTGGTACAAAGGAAGTAGCTATGCTCATCCGGGCTTGGGCTATCTCTCTATGGCAGTCTCAGGTCACTGGCCTGGAGCCTGGGTCCCAGGGAAGCCAGCTGGAGGCACCAAGGATCCTCAGGAGCTGGCCTCAGAACACACCCTTTGGCCCAGGAGCCACCCAGGCCAGGAGGTGAACGAAAAGGAAGAGTCCACTCACAGTGGAGGGACTGCAGCTCTGTGGACACATTTGACCTGTCACACCTTCTCCTGACTCATTTTTCAGGCAAAATGACACCTCCGTCTTCACCTCTTCCAACAGACTATCCCCATGTGACTACAGTCACCAGCTTATGCTGACTGCATTAGACTTCACTGTCTCTGCCAAGCAGACACAACCCCAGCTCTTAGGTCTGGTGTCTGCTGAATGTCCAGTCCACCCCCCCCCCAAAGCTGCCTTTCTGGGCCCCCTTCCTGCATGAGGAGGCCCCATGCCCAGCTCTGCCCTGTTCCTCCTAGTCTCTGCTCCCCTCTCTGCTGCCTCCTTCTCCAGTCTTGCTCTGATCTCAGCAGTTTTTTTCCTTTTAGGGTCTCATGACTGAGGAGCAAGGGGTTAGCAGATTCTGGGGAAGCAGATTCTGATTTTGCCTTGTCCCAAGTCCAAAAATTGGTGCTTGGAGAATCCCTCAGGGAGTCCTTGGATTTCCCCCACAGGGATGTGGATGCCGTGCTGTCTCGGGCCAATGCCACCGAGTTTGGCCTGGCCTCTGGTGTCTTCACCCGGGACATCAACAAGGCCTTGTATGTCAGTGACAAACTCCAGGCCGGCACTGTGTTCGTCAACACATACAACAAGACTGATGTGGCCGCACCCTTCGGAGGATTCAAACAGTCGGGATTTGGCAAAGATCTGGGTAACCAAATCCTGTCAGTGGGTCTGCTTTCATGTATCAAACTCCTGTCAAAGGCCACCAAGTGCCAGGTTCTGTCCCTAGTGGCACATTGAACAAGACAGCGGGTAGCTGCTCAGTGCTTGCTGGGGCTGGGGGACACTCTTGGGGCTGAGACAGCGGGCAGCAGTGGGAAGAATATACACAGGAGGTTCCAGGCACAGGGTGGGCAGGAAGATACTTCTTGGCTGCTAATAGTGAGCAGGGCACCCATTCCACCTCCTCTACCACCACAATGTAGTCGGGGCCAGGACAGGTTCCAGAATGGCTGCCCCAGACTGGTTCTGCAGCCCCCTGCCTGCACTGGAGCCTAAGCCCGTAGCTTACTACAGGGATGGCCTGGATCGGGTATGCGATTTCCCCGGGGCCTTGGTTTCTCCTCTGTGGAGAGAGCCAGGCTGCTCACAGGTGTGTTCATCTCAGGGATACCCCGAGAGGAGCCATGCACAGCCTTAGCATGTCCCAACGGCATGTGCTTTCTTGCAGGAGAGGCCGCCCTGAATGAGTACCTGCGGGTCAAGACCGTGACTTTTGAGTACTGAAGCCAGGTCTCCGTGGTGCTTCTCCTGTATCTGTTGGTCTCCCCTCAGGGACCCCGGCCCCTGTCTGGTAGCTCAGAACCCTCCTGTCCACAGTACCACTCCCTGAAGTCTCTGGAGCCATCAGCCTGCGCCCCTGCTGGCGACAGGACACCCTCAGAAGTGGCTCCTCTGGAGTGGGCAGCCATGTCCAGGATGAATAAAGATGTGAGCAGGGGCAGCTTGCGCTTTGTGTCGCCGCTCTGTCTGGGTGTCCCGGATGGTCCCAGAAGGAACAGTTACCTTGAGTCTGGGGCATATAGCATCACTTGGCCTTCAGAGAATGAAACTCTTTAGAGGCTACCAGGAGGAGATGCGTGTGTCAGCACATGCCTCCAAAGGCGAGAGCTGAGGTCCGTGCGAGAGGCTGTGGAGAGGCTAACTCCCCAGAAACAGAAAGTGGGACGTGAAGGGCAAGCCCTGGGCCAAGAAGCAGGCCAGCCTCCTCTGTAAGGACCCCGGTCCTCTCCAGACACTCGGTGGACTTGAGCAGTCAAGATGGCAGCCTGGGGCTTCTCCCTGCCTGGCATCTAAGACCTGGGCAGCACCCCTGTCTTCTACCAGCTGTATTCCTTGTCATCTTACACCACCCCACCCCAGCCAAGATACAGCCCCTGCGAGTCTTCTGCGACCTGTGTGCTCCCCTGGGGGTGCCCGAGGCCCTCTGCCCTGCATCCTCATCCTAGAGGTCCCCCACACCACAGACTTGCCATTGCCTTGGTTTACCCTTCATGTTTATTCTATTCTTGGCCCTGACAACCACTACCACCTCTCTCTGGCTCTGCCTTTCTGAGTCCAAAAGTTTTTAAAGCCTTCTCTGCCCTTCTTCAAGTCCCCCGGCCAAGCAGGGAGTGACCTAGATCAGCCTATTTTTGTGTGGGAAAGATTTCAACCAGGCCTATGTGGTATCCTGGCCTTCCTCCACATCCCCACCCATCTCCTTCCTAAGCACAGCGCAAGCCTCGTAGTGGCATTTTGGTCAGTGGGAAGCCGCATGCCTGACATTGGTCCCAGAAGATGACAGTGGGTTTAAGAATTCCTACCACCGATGATGTCATAAGTGGTGTGATGTAAACACGTCACTCCTGTACCTGCGGCGGAGCTGTGGAAACCCCCCTGCATGGGTGCTGGGGTGTGAAATTGCAGCGTTTCACAGTAGCGCTCCCACTGGCCATGTGTTTACTAAGATAATCAGCGTCAGCATGCTCATTTTTAAATAAGATCCATCTTATTTATTTTTTTGTCTGTGTGTTTGCGTGCATGTGCACACATGCATGCAGGTACCAGAAGAGCTCAGAAGAGGGTGTCAGACACGAGTGGTAGGAATCAGGTAACCTACAAAGCAGCAAGCTCTCACTCCTGAGCCGTCTCTCCAGCACGTGCACTCACTCTGCAGCATGCACGGTGACAGCATGGCCTGACAGCACAGTTCTTGGAGCTTATCCCAGTCTCAAAGTGACATAGGACAGTAGATTGTGTGACCCCCACATGTGATCACGGGTGGCAGCAATGGTAACCACAAGGGCTGTCTGTAGCCTCTCAGAGGTCTTCTTACAGGTGTGTGAAAGATGTGTGGTTCCCTCTGTGTGGCTTGTTCTGAGCCCTGCCCGTGTGTGTGTGTGTGTGTGTGTGTGTGTGTGTGTGTGTGTGTAGTTGGAGGTGATTGGATGGTTTCCTGCTTCCCCTGCAGGGTCCCCTCCCCCTGCTCCAGGCATGTCCAGCCTTGCTTCCTGATGCCCACGGAAGGGAAGGGTGTGCTTTTACAACACTGTTCATTTTTAAGTGGGATAAGGACACACTGCTTGTGCCCATTTTTAAGGGTGTAGCTTAACGGCACTAAATACCACCCCGTCATTTCTAACCACCACCTCCCTCCTGTCCCTGAACCCTATTTTCCTCACGTCATGGTGGTCTGAGAGTCTCTGGCCAACCAGTGAGCCTGTGGTAGGAGAGGTGAAGAAGTCAAGGTTGGCTGGCGGCTCTGGGGTCTGGGCAAGGCACAGCCACCTGTCCCTCACGTGTCCACCAGAGGGTGCTACATCGTGCTCTCTACATGGTGCCCCATGATGGGGGCTCATGGGGCCTTGCCCTGTTATGACTGAAATATGTCCCTCCAAATGCTAACGCTAAAACACGAACCCCCGTGCCTCTGAATGTGAGGCACCTGGAGGCTGGGGCTTTTCATGCTCAGGAAAGGCAAGCTGAGTCTGTGAGCCCAGAGTTCGCATTCAGCTGGGGTGGAAACAGAAACATCCCGAAGTCTGCAGCCTTTACCGTATGCCCCACAGCCATCTAAGAGTCTCCTTGGGGTAGGGATAGCTCAATGGGAAAGCGGTCATCTAGGTGAGAGAAGCTCTCGGTTCTATCCTCAGCGTTCATGTGCACGTGTTGCGTGTCCACATACGTGTATTGTATGTGTTCCATGTAACGTTTAAAATATGTTACAGGGTTTAACATCCTGTAGTGGTTTGAAAGAAAAGGGCCCCCAAAGGGAGTGGCACTAATGGGAGGTGCGGCCTTGTTGGAGGAAGTGTGTCACATTTCTTTCTTTGACCAACTCACTTCTTCAGGACAGACAGCCGTATTCACTGAAAGGCATGGTTTTAGGTTCAGGCCAGACTTTAAATCCCTGCTCTGAGCTGGGCGGTGGGCTCTGAGGTCTCCTATGCTCAGATTATACCCAGTGAGACAGATCACTTCCTGTTGCCTGCATGTCAAGATGTAGAACTCTCAGTTACCTCTCCAGCACCATGTTTGCCTGCACACCTCCATGTCCTGCCATGATGATAATGGACTGAACCTCTGAAATAGCAAGCCACCCCAATTAAATGTTCTCCTTTACAAGAGTTGCTGTGGTCATGGTGCCTCTTCACAGCAGTAGAAGACTAAGACACCTCCTGTTCTGGCATTTCTTCTTTTCATATTCTGCTGCCTCCAAACATGAGATAACCCAGGCCCTTTGCAATGTCCTGAGGGGAAAGACTGGTGTCCTGTGAGGAGACCCTATGCCCTGGCGCTCCCAGCCGCCCTGGGATACTCTCCCCTTGCCAGCTCCTTGTGTGCAGTCAGCTAAACCTATCTTTAGTGTCAGGTCAGTCTCCTCAAGGGCTTGGGTCAGTCCTGAGAGAAGGGGGTGTTCAGCTGCCCGAGTGCTGTCCCTCAAGACTGCAGCAAGTCAGAGCTCCAGACAGCAGCAATAATTCTGTGTGAGTGGAGTTGTCCCCACTGTGGCCCTAGAAGCTGACAGGTCTGCTCCTGACTCCCACCTTCCTCCTGCAGACGGACGCAGCAGTCAGTACTTCAGAGTCCACTGAGAAGTGCTGTAAGTCTTTCATTGTCCCTGAAGGGTGGGCAGTTCGGGGCCAGTGCAGGACCCACAGGGAGAGGCTTCCTAATGGATCAAGAGTGTACCTAACCTTCCAAATCTGGCACTGCCAGGTACTTGCTGGTGGGCAAGCCTCGGTTTCCAAAAACAGCAACTGCAATGCCTGCCCTGCCCACTCCAGCCTTTCATGGTGATGTGGGCCACCACTGTGCCATTAGGTGCCATGGTCCAAGTGCTATGCCCATTGCAGCATGGAACTTTTGCTCATGCAAATTACTAGTGAGTTCCCAGTGACAGCTTTGCCTTCCTGGTAGCACTCGGCCACATGCACAGCTGTCAGGAAGGGCTGGGGTGGGGGTATGGTGTGGTAAGCTGCTTCAGACTTGGCCTAGCCCAATGCGAGTCAGGGCCTCTTGTGGGGCTGGTCTCAGCTGTCTGTGGAGATCCCTGGGATCTCCTGACAGGACAACAGTGAAGATAGACTTCTCCATGTGTATAACGAAGGCCAGGGATGGCATTGTGCCCTAGATGGGCAGGCTTGCGGGGTGGAGGGGGCATCCTAAGCTAGCTCTTGGCTATCAGGAGGAGAGTGGTGAGGGGCCAACCCTGAGTGGACTTAAAGCATCTTCTAAATAATAGGAAAGCAAATTTTGTTTGGGGGAATTTTCTTCCCATTTCATATGTGAAATTAATATTTTAAATGTATCTGAAAGGAGATGACAGGTGTGGTGTTATATAGCTCTAATCCCTGCACTCAGGAGTCCAGCTCAGGTTTTGTGGGTTTGAGGCCAGCCTGGTTTACATAGCAAGTTCCAGGCCAGCCAACACTACATAGTGTGACCTTATTTCAAAATAAAAAAGAGAGATAATCCACAGGATAGTCGGTGTGTGTGTGTGTGTGTGTGTGTGTGTGTGTGTGTGTGTCTTTCTGTCTGTCTCTGTATGTGTTTCTGTGTGATGTCTTTGTGTGTGTGTGTCTGTGTGTAGGACCCTGAGTATCCTAGGCAACCACTCTGACCCTGAGCCCCATCTCAGCCCTGAGCCATCACCATCTAACAGGAACTGGACAATCAAGAGCAGCCAGCTCCTTCACCCATCCCTTTCTTTCACCAACTCACTTGCTCAGGACAGACAGCATTATCCACAGAAAGCCACGGCTTCAGGCTCAGACCAGACTTTAAATCCCTGCTCTGCCAAGGCAGTGCATGCAGCCTTGGGCAAGTGGGCACCTCTAGCTCCTTGGCTCCCTGACCCACGAAAGGACATCAGCTCTGCACAGCCCAGGCTGGGTGAGGCCGAGTGGCTGGCAGAGGACCGGGTAGAGTCCTGGAAAGTGTGCTTTCTTCTTTGTCATTGCTTATTTATTTGCCGATGTCCCCAAACCTTTCAGAGGCCATGCTGACACCTGCTCTGGCCCTGCCTGCCTCTGGCTACCTCTGTCCTCGGTGACTCTGGAGGGTGGCATCCCCCAGGAGCACCAGTTGCACGTGAGGCTGCTGGGTGCTGGACTTTATGTATCCTGCTGTCTGCTCCTTCCTGTGGGATGCCTGAGTTCCCCAGAAACCCCCAGAGTGGCTCGGGGAGCTCACCGTGTTGGCCTGTTTGTAGTGAACCTCCTGTTTTCCTTTTCCTGCCCCGCCCCCTACTCTCTCACAGGGCTTTCTGGGTCAGCCTTCAAGCAAAGAGTTTGCACTGGAGTCCTGTCCCAGGGAGGAGGGGTTGAGATCCAATGTTCCCTCCAAGACTGTGACACCAGTTACTTGGGTTCTTGCCACGCTAGCCCCACCTCCCTCTGGTTCTGCCACCTCCCTACAGTCCTTCAGTCTGGGGGCCATACCCTTGTTAAACCCTTATGAAACCTCCAAATCTATGGGCCAAAATAAGCCCTTTTCTCTGTATAAGTGCATATTGTTACAGTAAGAGAAAGCAGACCAGCATGGATCCAAGGTCGAGGTGCAGTTGGCTGCTTAGAATCCAGCCGGGGCTCAGGATTCCTGAGCCAGCAGAGAGCCATAAGTGGGGGCACAGAACGGTTTGTAGGAGTTGGTGTCCACTGATGCTCACCACGGCCGGGTCTTCCAGGGCTGTCAGCCTGGGCAGCCCACAGCTACCCCCACAGGTGAAGAGGATCCGTCCCCTATCAGCCCTTACCCCTTTTATAGCGGTCAGAAGTCATTTCTGAGTCAACCAGCGACTCCTGCAGAGGACTGGGAATTGCCACTCGGTAAGTGTGAGACGCATCACAGGACAGAACTTCATGACACATACCCAAGTGTTTAAAGGTGAAACTTCTAGAAATGTCAGGTTGAAAACAAAACAGGCAGATGTGGACCCTGAGGAAAGCTGGTCCTTGCACTGCGCTACTGTAGGCCAGTGGCATTTAGCTTCGCCGCGCAACCCCGCCCCTGGCTATGAGTCCTCCCAAGTCCCGCAGATCCCCTTGGCCCCTCCCCCAAGCGGCCCCGCCTCTGAGGCGTGTCATTGACGCTTTCGGCACCCAGGGAGCATCCCTGCACACCCCACGGCAGGCTCAGCGAGCTGTCCTGTGCTCATTGGAAACCTCCGGGGTTGCCAAGCTGGACGTCTTTGGGAGTTAAATGGATACCTCAGTCCTCCAGACCCTTACTTTAAAAACTGGGTTCTCAAGCTTCACCCGCTACGACCTGGCCCCGCCCACGAGGCCGGCCCGCAAAGCCCCTCCCATCAGGTGGCCCCGCCCCTATATGGCCCCGCCCCTCTGTCCGGGCGCCTGGGCAGGGCTGGGTTGGCCCGCCGGCCGCCCTTCCCGCTTCCTCCCGCCGCAGGCCTCGGCGGTGCCCAGCGCGCGCCCCGCCGCCTCGCTTCCTCCGCCGGCCGGGAGAGGACCGGTAAGCGCGGGCCGGAGCTGGACTGGGAGCCGGGGAAACGGAGGGAAAGCGGGGCGCCTACGGGCCTCGGGAGGGGGCGTGGGGCGCAGGGTCTGGCTAGCGGCACACCGGGGCGGGTCAGTACGTGGCTCCTTCGCTCCAAAGGTCTGCAGGGACCAGCCTCGTTCATCCCTTCCCTCTGCCTGTGTTGAACCCCCGGGCGCCTGACTCTAGGGATAATGACTGACTCCTTCAGCACCCCGAAAGCATCCCTGCACATCCCACTGCAGGCTCGGAGAGTTATTCTGCGCTCAGTTGGAAACCCCTGGGGTTGCCAAGGTAGAGATCGTTCAGACTTGAGAGGATACCTCAGTCTACCAGATCCTTTCTAGAAAGCTTTAAAAGCTCGGGGTTCTCAAACTGCTTCTTCGCCAGAGACCACTTAGAGATGCAGCCTCTCCAGCCTGACCCAGGTATCTAGGGGGTGGTCCTGCTCTGCTTCCTTAAGCTGGCCCCATGCCTCTGCAGTAGTTGAAGAACCACGGATGCAAAGGAGTACCGAGAGGCCTGAAGTGGGGGTGGAGACAGGCCAAGTGTCCTGTAAGGAAAATACATTACAGAAGGCTTGAGTAACCTCCCCCTATCTGAGGGAGGCACTAATGTGTTCCCCAAAGGGTGCCTGAATCCTGGGGTGATGATACCCAGACATGTAGATTGTTTTCCTAATATACATACCTATGGTAGAATTTAATTGATGGACTAGACACAGTGAAGGATGAACAACCCAGAGACAGGACAGGTTTAATGGTATACTGTGATAGAATTGTCACATCACTACTCTTGTGCCATTGTTAAGTAGAAGAAGGGTTGCTGGCCCACCAGCGCTGCCACCCTAACAACTGTTGAGAGGGTAACTAGCGGGCGAGCAGCAGACGCGGCACGGGTACACTGGACAAAGGAAGGGGGCACTTCTAGGAGGGGCAGAGTGTAGTGGTGACTGAATCAGCCCACCACGGTGCTCAGAACTGAACACAATATAAGACTTATGGATTGCTTGTTTCTGGAAATGTTCTCTTAATATTTTTGGACCACAGATGGCTGCTGGTAATAAAAACCTCAGAGGGTGGAACTGGATAAAGGATTCTACTGTGCTCCATTCAGACGTCACAATGGGTAGTGTTTCCTCACTCCCTTCCAAGGTCACACATCCAGGGAAAGGAGACACTGGGATTCTAACCCTGAGTTTTGGTTTCTGTACATCTCCACTGGGGATGTTCTATAATGTTAAGGAGATGAAACCCAGACATGCTTTCCTCTTTGCTACACAGTGGGAAGCTAAGAGGCAACCCATCCATCCCAGAAACTCAGCCCACCCGCCCTGTGCTTAGAATCTCCCTGTCCCAGGAAGGTGAGCATCAGTTTGTATGCTGTGCCAGAACCAGGCCTCCCAGAAGGATGTGTTAGTACCTGAGTGCTGGACAGGTGCTCCCGGGCCGGTGTTCAAGGCCAGCTTCACTGGGCAGTATGATCCGAATGGTAGTGTATAGTGTCTGAATGACAGACAGGCCACCCCTGTTGCCAGCTGGGAGGAGTCACAAACTATGTTGGGCTCTAGTCTCAGTCAGCTATGTCCGCCCCTTCCAAAGCCAGCTGACCCACGGGGAGGTCTTTAATCACTGCTATCCAGTACTGATGTTTGTTGGACTCCACACTTGGCATTGGGCTGCAGAATTGGTGTATAACAGTCACTTTCCCGAGGCAACCAAATACTTAGGGGTCAGCTGAGCCTGGGCCCACCCTAGGATGCCACCCTACAGTCATAGTACTATGAAGTACCCTTATCCACCAAGCCTCCAGCATACCTTGAGCTAAAAAATTAGGTTTTCCTGAATCCACTGCCCACTCTCCCTAGACACCACCTCTATTTTGTTCCACGGGGCCTGGCTTGCTCACCTGTCTAATTTTTAATGATATTAGTGACGTTATCCTTATTAAATACTCCAGCATTCCCAGTGAATCTGAGGGGCCTTAGGGCACCTTCACAGGGTAGGAGGTCCCTGCTGATGGGCCAGGATGTCCCCCACCTGGTGCAGATGACTGCTGGATGCTGACTGCTAGGCTGAGCCAGCTCAAGAGACCAACTTGATCCCCAGTGTACACCCTGGCCAGGGCTTTCTCTGGCATGCACGTATGTGCATGTGAGTGAGGATTGTGAAACCAAGTGATCACTACCAGTCGGCAGGTGTGTGGCCTTTTGTCTGTGTGGGCCCTGGGGCCCTCTGGTGGAGAAGCGAGGCACTTCACCAAGACTGCCGTTGACTGCCTCTGTTCTAGTGTCCTACCCTTTCATCTGTCTTTCACACTCAACCTTGTCTTTTTTTATTGGCACCAAATATTTTCTCCTAGACTTTCTTCAAGAGTTTTAAATTCGGGCTGGAGAGATGGCTCAGTGGTTAAGAGCACTGACTGCTCTCCCAGAGGTCCTGAGTTCAATTCCCAGCACCCACATTGTGGATCACAACCACCCATAATGGGATCTGATGCCCTCTTCTGTTGTGCAAGTATTCGTGCAAATAGAGTACTCATTTACATAAAATGCGTGAATAAAAGTTTTTAATTCGTGTGTGTGTGTGTGTGTGCACACGCGTGTGTGTGTGCGTGTGTGTGCGCATGCGTGTGTGTGTGTGTGTGTGTGTGTGTGTGTGTGTGTGTGTGTGTGCTCATTCACACCTGCACCACTGTGCACTTGCAGAAGTCAGAGGACAACTTAGGGTCAGTCAGTTCTCTCCTTCCACCATGTGGGTCCCAGGGACTGAACTCAGGTTGTCAAGCCTGGTGACAAGCACCTTTACCTGCTCTAGTTATAAATTTACTTTCTTGTAAATTTTATTCAGAATTTTGCCCTACGTATGTTTAAACTTGATATTCTTGAATTGATGTCTTATTTTTTTTTCTCTCTCTCTCTTCCCTTCCCTTCCCTACTCTCTTGGAGTTTGAGTCTGTGGTTTTGGATCAAAAGGCTTTCTTTTATAGTTCATTTTTATTTTGTTGTTTTTCTTGTCTGTGTGGTCCTTCTGACCATCTCTCTGGCTGTTCAGCATGTCCAAGTTCCACTCTGCCAGCAGAGGGAGCTTAAACAAAGCAGACACCCCTTGCTCCTGTCCCTGAGACCTGGAGATGTCTGCCTGCAGAGAGAGCCTCCTCCAGCGTCACTGCCTGTGTTGGCCGGGTTTGACACCCTGCTGTCCTTGGGGGCTGCACCCTGTTTATTTGCACAGCTAATGAGACATACACCTTGCCTGAATTCCTCAAACATTGGCGTTTTCGCTAAGAATGGCACTTTATTCTCCCCGAGACATTTAAGCACTGACTGTATCTCACACTGTTCTGAACACTTCATTAATGCCATAATTGGCACAGCCAACTCCTGCAATGGTTTTAATATGTCCACAGTTGTAGCTGCCCACACTGGTAATGGGCTCACTGTAAAACTGGCTGCAAAGAAACAGCATTGTAGAGAGCTTACCCCAGATGCCCTCTGCATCTGTGTTCCTCATCTGCAGAATCAGCCAATCTTGGACCTGCAAATACTCAGCAGAAGCAGCCGTATCTGTAACAGTCACAGACCCTTGTGCTTGTCATATTAACTGCATAACCCACAGCCGTTTATAAAGCTCAGGCCTGTGTTAGATACTGTCACGACTAGAAGGTTCACTGCAGGGTGTGCAGAGAGACAGGCCCTATGCAGGGGCCATGCTACATAAGGAACTTGAGCACTGGAAGATTCTGACACAAAAGGCATCACCCCACATACCTAGGGAAAACAAAAATTCTTCCCACTTTCCTCAGTTTTTGTAATTTTACGACTGTGTGTGTGTGTGTGTGTGTGTGTGTGTGTGTGTGTGTGTTTCTAGAGTTTTAGGAGCCTCACCAAATTTAAGCAAGAATGAAATGGTAGTTTCTCTGAGCAGTAGTGGTAAATGTCTGGTTATCTGTGGCTTATTCTGGGCTAAGAATTGGGACCTTGGCCATGCAGTCCAGTGAGGGACTTCCCTGGATCAGCTTGGCGGGAAAGTCCCGCCTCTTCATCATGACCTGGTTTCTTTGTCTATTTGGAAGCTCATTCAAGTCTAACCATCATCTCAGTGCAATTAGTAGTCAGCCAGGAGTGATGGTTGATTTGGATTTTTTGTTTTGTTTTGTTTTTGTTTTAAGAGGGCTTGCTGTGTTGCCAGGACTGACCTTGAATTCTTGGGCTGGACTGATCAGCCCACCTCAGGTGCTGGCCACCAAGCTGGCCCGTGTGTTTACGGTGCACCCAGCACCAACTGCGTGTGGCTGTGCTCCGCTGGTTGCCTGGTTCCTAGGAAGTAGTTGGGGGAGGAGGGCTCTTTAATTGCTTATCTCTTGGCCACACGTGTTCATCATCTGTGAGTGCTTCCTTCGGCCTGGCGATCCTGCGGCACTAGGCTGGTTCAGCCTTCCTGTCCAGGTCCTGTTTTTTCCAGCATCTGTGGACTGGTTCACTGGCTCCTGCTTACATCCAGGATGTGCTTACGCATCCTCCTCAGATGTGGCGCAGCTGGCAAAGTGCTTGCCTGGCATGTGTGAAACTCTGCTTTCAGTCCCCTGTGCTGCATAAATATGGCGGTGCATGCCTGTAATCTCATCCCTCCAGAGGAGGAAGGAGAACCAGAAAGTTCAAGATCTTCCTTGGCTACACATTCAGTTTGAGGCTAGCCTTGGGCTACGTGCACCTCATTTGCATTGTGTTTGTTACTGGTGAATGCTGACACTGTAGCTCTAGGATGGCAGTGGTCTAGTGTTCCTTCACTTTAGGAACGCCACTCGTGTCTTGAAAGCACCTTGCTTTCCCATGGTCCTCTGGTCAGCTATCATCTTGATTTTTTTCTCCTTGCTCCAAGTTAAGGGAATCATTGTCCCTCCCAGAATCTTGGGAGAAGCCTTACTCTTTGGACTACTTTTAGGGTTTGTTTTGTTTACATTACGGTTCACATCAGTTTTTAGCCCTTTGATGCTGTGAACCTGGCTTTCCTCTGAGCGTGTGGCAAGGGACATTTTTGTCCCACACAGGCAGTCTTCGGCTCTCAGCCCCGTCCCTTAGGGAAGGTTGGACGGACTATTTTGGAATCACAGAGTGAGCTTGGCCATTATCTTGTAGCAGCCGAGACATTCTACACTGGTGATTCATTGTTTCTCGGTGTTCTGGGGTACTGGGCAGGTCTTGGCCCAGGAGGGCTTGCTGGGGTTATTGACTGGCCCTGAATCCCTCCTCCCTCCTCCAGAGCCTCCAGTGCCCACCCTCGCGAGGTTCCATGAGACAGCCCTGTCCACTCCTCTGCAGTGGACTCTCCACAGCCCCGTGGCCTGCCTTCAGAAGCATGCAGCCCTACCCCACAGCCCTGGACTCATGTTCCCTGCCTGAGGGGAGCGTCTTCAGGGCTGGGCATGCCGGCTACCAGTTTTGTCAGTTTGGGCTAAGGGGTTCCTCGAGTTCCTTGAAGATGTTAACAAAACCACTTGGAAGTTTTCCCCAGCCCTGTGGCTGATCCTCCTCGGGGGACACTTTCCATAACTGCTCTGTTGGATACATGCTTTCTTGTTTGTGTGTCTCGTATTTGTTGAGGTGAATTATGTCTCTGTGTCTCCTTTGTTGTTGAAAACTGTGTCCTCTAAAGAGTGAGCCATTTCCGGGACTGAGAGTCTCTCCTGTCAGGAGGACTCGCTGTGGCCACTCGCTGTTTGGTGACGTCACTGAACACCGTTTTGT